GCGAAAGAACGTTTAAAAGGGGTGGCAGAGTAGGGATGATTTTCAGTTCCTATATAAAATGAGTCATACCAGAACACAAATAATCTTAGCTCCTTCCAGAAGTAGTTGTTTATATGTCAACCATCAGCTGTGACGAAAATAAACTTGTACGTAATTATTTTCATCTGTATTCGTAGGAAGTGTGTTTCTATTAGTATCAAGACAGTAATGGAGAGTGTTTTTTCTGAATTCCTATTTCTGAAAACAAGTCATATTTCTTATTTGCCTTTCAGTTCTAACATCACAAAATATTTCAAATAAATACAATGTCCACAAATGAGTTATAGGCTCTTCAATGTCTGCAGCTGATGCACTACGACTAATAACACGACTACTAATAACACGACTACTAATATTGTCACTGCTGTACTAGAACAGACGAACACCGGGACATAATAAAAGAGGCATTTTGAAAATGCCTCTGTTTTTTCTCCATTTCCAGTCGCATATCTAGCAAATCCGAAGTTCATCTACATAGGCCAATATTCAAAAATTCAGTTCCTACCTCAAATAAAAAACAGATCTTCTCCATTATAAAGATCAGCTGATTAATACTGTTTAAGGAAATAATTACTGTTTATTCTGAGACTCATATGAAGCCTATAAATACATGTGGGCAACCTCCTCTATTAAATATTGTTAAATAAGGCTGTGCATATAATTACCACTACATTTTGAAAGGTTAATTAATAGTTTTCTTTGATTTGTCTGTTGCGTACGAAGTTCCGCTGTTTTCAGAGCCACGTCGTATAAATTAGACATAAAGAAACACCAAATTTTAAAATTAATTTTCATATACTGATGTCAAGTCTTGGCGGAAACAATTTTGAATCTGAAGGAAACTCCAATGAATATTATTTTCATATACACGTTTAAAAAATAAGCATTGCTCAGAGTGTTAACAATACTGAAGGGTACAGTCTGTAACAAGTGCAAGCCTATTTCGCGCGAGTCATAACCCGCGAGGGTCGCTGTTTTTCTATTGTGTTTCTTCGGATCAAATGGTCTTCAGGCAGTTGATAAGGAGAAACGCCACCATCTTGAATGTTTTGTCATGTATGCGAACAGTTAACAGCAGAATCACAAGGTCGGTCTTTAACAAAGACGGCAGATAAAACAGGCCTTTGCCTTATTTTCGTTTACATTTAGGGCTAGACTCAAACGTCGCATGTCCGATACATATCGTGACGTAAACTCGATTGAATGGACGAAGGCAAAAAGAGCATGCACTAAACGCCTTGAAAACTTCCATTTCTGTCTCACAAAATTTCTTACGTATCGTTCCTTCAGCAACGAAGATGGTGCTGTACGGCGAACAAACTGTACCGTCAACAGACTGGAAGAATTCGAAGTTTGCCTCTTCTGGATCTGTAAGATTTGAGGTTTTCACAGCGGCGAGTATGAAGATTTCTGTCTTCTGGGTTGTTGCGCTGTGTAGTCTGGTCGATGTTTACCAACGTTTCGGAGGTTCTTGGTGCCTCCATCATCAGGGCAACAACCCAGAAGACAGAAATCTTCATAGTGGACTTACAGGTAGACGCCGACAAGTTCGGACTTCGTTAGAACCCAGAAGACGAACAACAACGTCTTCACCGCCCTGAGGACGTCAAATCTTACAGAAATGTAATGGACTTTCTATTCTCGAAGGCATGTCAACATATTCCGTTACATTTAACGTAGCTGCCAACAATCACGAATAATAGGGCAAAGTGATCTTAATGTGTCAAAGGAATAAGAAGGCCTTTTGGGATCAAGTATTTCTGTTTCCACTGCTTTTGGAACAGCTGGGCAACCGAACCTATGAATTGCTATGTTAAATAGCCTACGTTGATACAACCAATCGTGACAATCGTTTCGTAATTCCTCCACAACTGCATACAAACTTTGGCCTAACAAAAAGTTTTGCGAAGACTGGGCAAAACTAATGGTGGTATTATACAGGTAGCAAAATTTTCCAAAAATTAAGTGACCCAAATGAGAAAACTTTTGCATGACAACTGCTTCTAACTTTCGCTCCACTCAATTAGCTGCGTGACAATCTTTTAAATCCGTAGTTCGTGAGTTTTCAGGTAAAAGGAAACAAGAAAACTATAAACAATTTTGTGTGGCTATAAAGTTTCGGAGGCTTTATGCTCCTAAATACTAACTTTTTGCTATAAAGTTTCGGATGCTTTATGCTCCTAAATACTAACTTTTTGCATTCACATGTGGCTTTCCCTTCTGACAACTTGGGTACTGTTAGTGATGAATAACATGAAAGGCTCCATCAGGATACAGTAAGTAGACGTGTAATGAATGGAACAACGCTAACAAGTAATGTGGGATCCAGCCATGACGGGAGTCCATTTTAGGTTCTTGCAATGGAAATTGGACCGTTAATAAGAGAAAAGTCAACTTCAAATACATGAATTTTGAGAAAGAATAACGTTTTCCCAACCATAATATGAAAATACGATATTTTATTAGTAAATAAAAGATTAAAATCATTTAAATAACGTAATGATTTCAAGTTGCGTCATAAGTGATATTTGTAATATTCTGCAAACACAAAAAACAGGACAAGAAAACTGCGAATATCACAAATTTTTAATATAATTTTTGTGATCACCATCCCGACTACGTACACGTTACCGAAAAGGAAGTGAACATTTGTCGTAATGTGTAGTTTAAATTAATTACAATTTACAATGTAATTGTCATACGTATTCTTATTCGCATTTCATTTGCTGATGCTGAATTTAAATTATATTTGAATTAATACAGTTTAGAAATCTCTCTGTCAGGGCGTATATAATCTGACAAACGCACGGGCCTGGTATGTTCTTCCGCTGTGTACTTACAAAGCTATATTTTCCATGCCAACGCTGTGCAGTGAAACGGATTACACATTTAATTAAGTTAATGACAATATAATACGCGTAATAATGAAGTAAACAAATCTTCTGTAGTGGCTACTTGAAGGTGATGGGGTAAAAAGCATTCGCACTGTAATATGAAACGAGATGACATTGCACCAAAGATATTAAAAGAAATCTATGATACCAGTAGCCACAGCCTACTCAGATAACAGTACAAAACAGATTCTAATCTTATATCGAAAACATGGAAGAAATAAGCTGGTTTTAATGTAATGGGTACATTGGTCATAAAGATTACAGAAATTTGTAACATGCAATTTTCTTTCTTTCGTGTCTTCTAATTTTTATTTTATTTAAAATAGTTATATACCACCTATTATGTAGTTTAAATACGATTATTTGATTAAAATTAAATTTAAATAACTATTAAACCATTATAGGCTGACATTATAATTGCAAAGAACAAAAACACCAAGAAAAATGCACAGATTAAGGAACATGTACTCGGAATCTAGTAAAAAAACCATCACAGTCTCACGTTTTGACGAAAAACATTCCTCAGAATTATATGAAAGTGGAGAAGACTCTAAATCCATTACTTTACATAGAAAGTTATTTTTCCTTAATATGAACAATGTCATATTCCCTTTTCCAACATTGTTATTTCTTTCGAAACTCAGGCGTGAAGCGAAATTGTTATATCAATACCCGCAATAAGCACGTCAGAGTTACATATTGTAAAAACTGTTTTTTATAAAACACCAAACATCTCACACTGCTTTCTACATTTTGTAAAACTGTGTCAGTTACGACTCATTTTTAAAAAGGAGTACGTTTTTCAAAACATATCAGAATATCTGACTTCGACTTAACAGCGTCCGATATCCAGGACCACAAGAAGAAAATCTTTGTGATTCGCCCGGTCCGGACATCCCGTGCTCCACAGACATATCACAAACCTGATGATGACGACCGAAACTGCTATCGAAACGTCGATTTTACGGCCACCTGAAGCTACCGATCGTCCATAAAAGCTGCACATCATACACATATCTTACGGGGTATGACACTCCCGGATTCGGTGCAACTTATTCGGGCTGACAGGAAAAACGGAACAAATCGAAGCCATCGTTAACATTCATCTGCAGCCTCCGCGCCGTTATCTACGTCCGAAAACAATGCACTTTCTTTGCACGTGAAAAGAAAATCAACTGCACAGAATAATTATATCTGGCAAACTTCTAAGAAGTTGACGTCAAAACACAGTCCACAAACATAAGACAGATGTATAAATTCCTACATTATTCCTAACCTTTCTTACGCCCTTCCTGCACACTGAGTGATATTTATGCCAATTCCTGACAACGTAGGTCGATGTGGTGGGTCTCGATTCATCTCCTATCTTGAGCAGCTAGTCATCTGATCAAAAATTTCTACGACAGTCACAAACCGACAAAGTTTATTACTGTATTCACAAGAGCCCGCTATTGGTCCCGATCCTGAGCCAGATGAATCCAGTCACCCCCACACATCCTAGATTTTTAAGATTACTTTTAATAATACCCTCCCATCTACACCGAGGTCTGTCAAGTGGTCACTTTTCTTAAATATCTCCCACTAAGCTTATTGGTTTTAAGAGGTTGATGGTAAGGTAACAATTTAATTCTATTTATCAAAAATTTAAAAGATAGTATAATTGCGTCATATTGTGAATCCAATATTAAATTAATTATTCGGTTTATGTCCGTCTAATCACAATTATATTTAAATTTTTTTACAAATAAGATAATTAAAATATCATTTTATGTTCCACATCGAATAATCGATTTACATTTGGAACATTTTTACAACATGTTTCGGTTTCATCGAACCATCTTCAGGTGTAAAATTATATCAACAAACTTAAAACTCAATTACAATTTCTGTTGTGTAGCTTTTTGGTGATGTTTTCTGGTGATATTCATATCCAGATTATTTTCATATATTGGAGCAAATGTAATGTTTTGAAGTGAAATGAAATATTTCGCTTTAAATTAATCTGCCCTTGTACACTGCACACGATTACGCAACTATGATAAATATTCAATGCAAATCTTGTCTTACCTTCGTTGTAAAGGTCCAAGAGCGAAGCATCAGATGTTTTGCCACTACCTAGCCTCCATCTTGAACTGCACCCTGGGGGAAAAAAAACAATATAAAATGTACATCACGTATTTTACCGAGACATCTGAAATATCTGTCTCGCGATTCTACCGAAAGGTCTGCGGCAGCGGATTCGGACACCACAATTAATTTATGTTTCACGCTGGTTAGATTTTTAGAATTAAGGTTCTCACGGCGACGAGTAAAAACGTCTGTCTTCTGGTGTGTCGCGCCGTGTAGCCTGACGTTTCAGAAGTGCAAACAGCCTACATCATCAGGACTCATCGTAACTCATCGCCCTGACGATGCAGACAGCGAGAATATCTGAAACGTCGGTAAACTTCTACCAGGCCACATGAAGCAACATTCCAGAATACAGTCATATTCATAATAGCTTTCATGAGAACCTGAAATCTCACCACAGAATGGTTGTCTCTTGTTCCCCTAAGCTACTAAGTCATTTCTGTTATTCGTTTACCACAGTTTGTGTGTGTGTGTGTGTGTGTGGTATAAGATTTCCAAAAATAAGTAAGCGAACCAAATCTTAAGATTGTGCCTTAATGCCTTTGTCTGCCAATAGCAATATTGAAAACATTCCAAACTGCTGTTCTATTTCTGTAGTATTACCGTTCATGCTAAAAGTAAACCATTAATAGATAATCGCGTTGAATGTAAGTGTGTTTGCCTGTAGATACTATCTGTTCCTTTCGAAAATGGTAATATTAAGTGCTGTAACTGGAGAACGTCAACCAATTGGCACTGGTTCAGCTTTTAAATACTCTAGAGTCAACTAATTCTTGATACTTTCTCCGAGGTTCATGAAAATTTAATGGTAACGAAACTTGAGCACAGTAGCCAACAGCTTTCCAGTTGAGACGCTGACGAATTGAACACTGCGTTTATTGAATATTGAGTCCCTCTGCACTTCTACCAGCTCCAACGTGGTCACCAAGGTCAACTGCTACTGTACAGTTAATGGTACCATTACTAACATTTCAGTGACAATAAAATCAAGGAGGATGATATGGGCTGGGCATGTAGCACATATAGGTGACGTAGGAAATTCAGAAGAGATTAGCAAAAATTAATACCAAGGCGTGAAGGAAGGATTTTATTAGAAACCATCTGAAACCTTTAGTTTTTATCAGAACAATAATTTCACACTTTAACTTCAACAAATATTATATTTAAGGAACGAATCTTGGAACGTTCAGTTTTCTCCTCCTTCCATAATGCAAGAGAAGTGAACTTCCGACCCTCAGATTCCCTTAAGATTTTCATGGTAGAAATAATTCCATTGATAACCACGGAAACAACCCACATTACATAAAAAGTATCCAACAGATAAAATATGGTGTGGATTGGATTCACATGGCCCAGAACTGGGATCTTGTGAACACATCAATGAACCTCAAAACTTCCACAAGAGACGAAATACTTTTTGACTAGCTCAAGAACTAATAGATTCTTAAAGACTTTCATTCATTGAGTTCGGAAGTGCGATTAGAACAAATGTGATGGAAAGGGATTGTAACTTGCTCCGACTTAAGTCCTGGTGAAGAGTTATTCTTACTCAGGGTGTCCGATGGGGCTGCTTGGAAGTAACTGAGGGCTAAGATCCTCACTCGCGAGGAATATCTTGTGCCTACTTTTCATTAAACAGCTATCAATCATCAGCAGTAAGTGATCACACTTTGAGGGAATCTAATGACGTAAACATAGCATTACCAGTAACTATTTCTGGCTGTACACAGCATACAAAATTTTGATTGGTAATATTTAGGAGTTACGATACCGCATCATGCAGAATATGCAGAGCAATCCAAAACAACGAGTAAAATTATAGAAGGATGCCTGAACCTTCATCTTTAAATTTCTAGATAGCGAACCAATTGTGGGTAGAATCTGGAACTGAAACTTAAAATTGATACACAAATAGGACTTTAACTTATATTTCCGTAAGGGAATTTCGATTTAATTTATTTATTGATGTATTTATTTTTGTGGTGTCAATACCTTTCCTACACAATCACTGAGTAAATAAAAACTGATAAACTGTTTAATATCCGAAAATCACTGTGACAGCGATTGAGGTCGTTTCCGCCTTGGGCCGTATTCCGCTCCCCTCCCGCTTAAAAATGTAACTGTTGTTGAAAAAGATGTTAGGGAAACAATACCTCTCTTTACATGTTTCATATCGAACTTCTGCAACGTTTCAGCAACGAAAATTATGTTAGCGCGGATATAAGGCCCTAGACATCAAGAAGGTGTTACCCCTTTAAAGCCGAGTGGTACGTACCACTTACTTTAACAACCAGTGGCTGTTGTATGTGAACAGAACATTTTAAATATACCGGGAATGATTTTGTACGTCTTTAGAATATTTGAAATAGCTGAGGAACTATTTCGTACGTGTTTAGGTCATTTCAGACATCTGACAAATTATCTTATACGTGCTTACAAAGAGAACAGTCCAGAACAAAGGCAGCAACAATGAAAAACTGTTCTGTGTTCTAGCATCGGTGAAGGTGGTCTCTTAGCTCCGCAACCAAGCTCGACAGAAGTTGGGAACACGCAGCCGAGAATCGCGGAACACATTCAACTGTCGATGTTCCTCTTTCCCAAACGAGAGTAACATAGTTCAAAACAAATCTAAATTAACGCAACCTGAACCAATACAACAAAACTCGTTTTAAATTGACGCAATTTCACACATAACCTACAAGAAACTAACAACAGCTACCATAACATAATGTAATGTAACGATAACTAACAGAACCTTACTCAACAATATCACACAAACTCAAACCAGCCTCCACTAACATTATGTAACCTCAGTATATCTAACCTAAGCTAACTCTACCTAACCGAATCTAACCTGAACTGACCTGACCCTCCTCACCAAACTTAACATATCTGATCTGGCATGCCTTTACCTGATCTAGCCAAACCATTCCTCACCTGACTCGACCTATCTTAAATAAACCTAATCTCACATAATTCCCAACCTAACCCAACCCAACACAATCCAACATAATGCAACTTTCCCAAACCCAACCAAACCCAACCTAACCTAACCTAACCTAAAGTTACCTAACCAAAAGAAGCTAAACTGAACTAAACCGAACAAAACCTAACTAAATCAAGCTAAACGGAACTATACTGAACTAAATGGAACTAATATAAAACTGAACCAAAATCGAATAAACGGAATTGAACCAAACAAAACCGAACTAAACTAAACTGAAATGAAATGAAATGAATTAAACTATACCTCTCCGAACTGAACGGAAGTAAACAGAACCAGATCGAACAAGGCCAGACTGGACCAAACTATGCCATTTTTTCCTATCACATTAAACGATACGTATCGAATGACCACACCTATAATAAGCTCTCGGGCAGTAAACACGAATATGAAGCCATTATATTTCAAGGTACGTTCTAAGGTAATGCACGTGAGGGGCTTGTTCCATCGGCGAACGCACAGTTGAGTTTGGCGGCAAATGTAGCGGGAACTGGCCGGTTACAAGAATGAACGTGTACGGAGACTTCTTATGCGCTGAACTCGAGAGAGTTGGCAGGAAAGAACAGCGGTCGTATTGAAAATGTGCACACAGCGGAGAGCCGAAAAATAAAGCAGACGACTATTGCGGAATATTGACCTCTGCCAAAAAAAATTAAATGTTCCGTAACACTGGTTTGTAAACCGCGGAGAATTTTGCTACGAAGAAAAACAAACACAGTGGTTTCAATGTAACGTTCATAGTACAGATATTTGCAAAGCATCATTTGTAATACCTTCGAATATAATAATGTGTACAACCATTTGTCGTAGAAATATTTACGTGTAGGTATAATTCATTTGCATGATTACACCTCTCTTGTATTTATTATGGATATATTTAGTTCCATGACGCCATCATCCTGATGATGATGATGATGATAATAATAATAATAATAATAATCGCTTGATTGACGGTGTTAAAATTTCTTTCCGGTACGCATCTCTACGTCGACCAGCAACGTATTTAATAAAACATATGTTTCTAAAACCAATACATATTTTGAAACTGATTAAAATTTTAAAATTTGTTCGATCAATAATCAAATTTGAGGGTGGTTTACATACAATTTATACTGTCTTTTAGACATTTTAAAAAAGGCTGTATTTTTTCTTGAACAGCAAGCTTAGAAAATGTTATAATTACACTTTAGTGTCCTCATGTTTCAAGAAACAACAATTTAGAGATGATAATATTGCAAGTCCGTTACCAACCACGAGGACGTAGAAACCTGGCACGACCAAAGCGTCGATGAAACTGAATAATAACAAGCATTTTCGGGGTTTATTCTTCGCACAACGTCATATTGAACCAAATTCTATTTGTTATTGGCCCCCCAAACATTTAAATGTTAGACAAAGAGAAATATCGCTTATAAAATATTTTAACAACAGAAGTGAAACTCGCTGTCCTTTTCACACCAAATTTCGCTCCTATCAAGACTGAGGAATAGCTATTCAACTTTCCTGTAAGTGATCCCGTGCAAGACCACGAAACAGCTAGCAAACCACGCGACCAGAAGAATAATTACGACGGTTCAATGACCTGCCACAAGGAACCAAAGCAGCTCACAAATGTGTTCAACTTTTCCTAGCACCGAGGTCTGGAAGTCCGTTCATTTGACTCCATATGTCCCTTTTAAACTTCCATGACGCTAGAATATAGGAGACATTATTGGAAATGTGGACTGCAAATGCATTATTTCCTGTTTTCCATTATCTCAATGGCCTTCATGTAAATTTGTAGCAGATACAAATCTACTGTTACAAAGGTACTCGCCCTACAGACGTCAAAGTGCACAGTCAGAAATTATTTTTCCGTGTATTCTGTTAAATATTCATATTATCAGAAGTGTTCAAATAAAAGAAAATCTTAATAATAGCAACCAGTATACGTCTTGTACTCATTTTAGTATTTTGGACCGTTATGGATAAATTATATTAACGCTTTAAAGTCCTTCTAAATAAT